ATTCGGTACCAAAGGCACCTTTAAATGAGAACCTCCGTCGACCCCATCATACGATCCATTGACCCTTTGCGCCGCCCCTACAAATCGGTCCACTCCTGCTTCGGAGTGACCTTCTTCATGATAATGGTGAACGTAAAAGTGTGGGCAGGAGAAGAGGGCTGGGAGGGCTGCGTACTGCTGGCTGCACTCGGAGAGGCGGCAGACACCATCAGAGTGGGAGGCGAATGCACCTGCACCTGGTGCAGCGGACTTGAGCTTACCGAAGCCGTATTGCTAGGGCCGCTAGAGGTTACTAGGGGGGCACTGGAGGTGGGGTAGGAGCTGGGTGAGGCTCCGGGAGGTGGAGCTGCGGGTTGGGGCACACCAGTGGCCTTATGTTAATTGGAGTTATGCTTGCCATCAGAAGAAGCGAGCTCAGAAGATCCGGAGGAGCTCAGAGTCGTGTTGGAGCCGTAGGGGTCCAGGCTGCTCTGCACGCTCATCGATCTTCCTTGGTCCTGGCGTCTTACCCGGTTGGGGGACAATTTTCCGGGGTCAACACTGTTTGGGTCTGCCTGGAATGAGTAGTGATGGAGGTCGGGTTTAACAGGAGCTACCAGCTACTTTCATAATATACATGCGGGAGGGCATAGTGCGGAACATTTACTCGCAAAACGTCTTTTTGGTTAGTTATATATATAAAAGCACACAGAATGACCAAAATATTTAGAGACATAACTAGAGGAGACGCGACTTAATGGATTGTAGCAAGTGGAACTTTCTGCGTATTACGGTACTGCACCTGATAAGCCAAAGCATTCATGAGGGTGGTGTAGGGAACCAGCTGCAACGGGTGAATTTCCCTCATCAGGACGTTTGCAGGAATTTTGTGAAACTGGATGTATTCGATGAAGTTGCCAATGACGTCCTTCAGGCTTGTGGTCGAGTTGTTGTCACAATACTTCTTACCTAAAACCGCACATTTTCAAACGTTGCTGCTAAACTTCCTAATTAATGAGTAAACTGCCAATTTACCCCACATGAGTGCAGCCTGAAACTTGGTGAACTCATCGGCTTGAAGCTCGTCTCTGGCCAAAATTAGCCGCACAACATGTTGGGGTAGCAAAGTGAAGGAACCCAAGTTCAACACCTCGTTTCCATGCTCATCCACAAACTCCAGAACCTGCAGCATGAAAAACTCCAGTTTTTTGAACCATTAAAAATTCCCTGTCTGCAGCACCTTTTGCACCAGCGATTTGGTGCACTTATACTGAATGTAGCGCTCAGCTGAAGAAAGCAACGCGCATACAGTATCAACGTTGATGCAGCATTGAACGAATCCGGCACACGCTCTTCGCAGCTCATCCAGGCCGTAGTAATCCGCTGCATTCATCACGCCTGGAACCGCATAGGGGGCATTCATCATCCGCAAAATATCCGCAACTTTTCACCTACTCACCCAGTAAGGTTCGGGGCTGCAAAGTGACACACCCTGTATGAATGTACTCGATCAGTTGGCGGAAAACGTCGGGTTCAAACTCTTCAATGATGAGCGTTTGGTGCTGTTGCGACTGCGGCTGTTGCGCATATGAAGAAAAGAAACCACGTTTTTTAAGGTGGCAGGAAGAAGAATTAGTTACATGCATTAAAAAGGAAAATCGGACCTAAATTGCTTCAGCAGCCTGAAGATTCGTACTCTAGACCTAAAGAGTGGGTGTGGATGGAAGTCTTGTTAATTTCACTAAGTCGCTAAACTAACATGCAGTGTTGGATCTCATCGGTGAATTGTTGGAGCATCACCGGGCAAGATCAGTTATTTACATACGAAATCTTCAGCATCCTAAATCTGACATTTTCTAGAACCGAACTGGTTGAGGAAGAGTGTGAAGGGACTTTAAAACAGTCCTACTGCTATGGAAAACTTACAAACTACCACATGCATTAATTGAGGACTTTTACTTTCGTTCGGTGCAACTGAGGCTTGATATATCAACATATGCAGCAGGTGTTTACTCGCAGGGCAAGAGTGATTGCCAACCTATAAAATCCTCCTACTTGTGCACTCGTTCAATACTCAAACGTAATTTTCCCAAATGCCTGCTGATGACAACTTTTTTTTAGTTTTTAGCGCAGAAGATATCGACATTGCGCATAATTAGGAAAACTGGGAACGGATGAAGCGAGAACAAAGTGATTCCAGAATGGTTCAAGTGAAAAAGCGATACAAAACAACCATGTTGAAGCCCTTGAAGATGATGCTGGTGAAGCTACAACACTTGCGCTGAACTAAAGAAAGTAAAGAACAAAACCGGAGGCTTCAAGAGGGACCATTTAATCATCAAATTGGGAAGAAGCACCCGAGAAAGTCCCGTTTTTAACCAAACCTCTCAGTTGAGTCGTCGGCTTCCTGCTTCCATCAAGATTAATTTACAATTAAATCTACCTAAATTCTATATATAATAAGGAAAAAATCTGAATTGAACAAATGCACATTAAGAGCCCTAAATCTGCTAAAATCTAAGTGAAATATAAAGGCAAGGCATATGAAGCAACAGGTTGATTTTGGATTCGGAGGAGTGCATGTTTTACCTCTTGGATAGAAGCCAGCTGCTGGGTGTAGCCTCTCTAAACGTATAATATATAACAAGGATTATTTACTGTCAAATACTAAACCCTAAGTCTATGCAGTTATTTAAAGCTCTAAACGTAAGGAACGATTCCCAAACGCCAGGTTTTTACAAATTTGGCAATCATCATCCCAAAGGGTTCAGTTTAGCTGTCTAAGTAAAACCCAGAGTTCGCTACTCTACCTGCTGAGAGGCGTTCTGGAGGTTCAACAGCGGCTCAGAGGACCGTTTGAGGAAGAGGCGAAGCTTGTTTTCTCGTGGCGGCGGTTCTTTCTTGCGCTGCGGACTTGGAGCCTGCAAAACCCGGGTGGTAAAACCGGTCGCTGCGATTGAGCGGCTCCACTACCTGATAGAGCATTTTGTGGAAAACTCGAGAACGCGCAGCCAGCACCGCTTTTACTGCACAGACCGGTTCTTTGGTCTCTCCCACCAAAAACGTGACATCGCAAAGCTCTGGCATGCTGGCCAAAAACTTCATGTCCTCAGCAAGGCCGCTCTTGTTCTCAAAGGTGCTCAAGTCCGGCTCGGCCTCTGCCATCGTTACGTAGCTGGCGGGCAAGAGCACGCTTTCCGGCATCTATTCAAACAGATATCGAAGATTTTTTCAAAATTAACTGAGTTTTCGGATTTGGGTAACAGCAGCTAACAGATCGAAGTCTTTTCAAGTCGTTCAAGTTCCAATCCAAGCCCAAATCCGCGTTATGAACAACAGATAAAGTTGAAAGAAGCCTTCACTCTGATATTGACTGGAAAAGCGGCTTAAAAATCGCCTCGTTAAATTAGTCAATAGCAGAGATGTTTGCAAACAGTTTCAAAAACTACGTTTTAGGCGTCGATTTATTCATTCAAGCAGCTGTAAATTTGAGCTCAACAGCGTTGCATTTAAGGCAAAGTGTTGCTCCTTTGGACCTCTTTCCCCATGCTATTATTACCTGTTGATTTTGCCTGTGTGTCTCCACCCAATGAGCAAACGGAAAATAAGGGAAAATTAAGGAAACAAGAACTGTGTAACACGTTGCTCGATCCTGCAGGATTTTTCACCGCTCACTCGGCTAAAACTCTGCCATGATTGTGGTCAGCATCTTCGCGATATTTTCCCGAGGAAAACTGTTGAATTTCGTAGTCGCCCTATCTGGGAAATGCTGGAAACGAGCGGCGCTTGCGTTGGCCTAACGATCCCTGATAATCTCCAAGGGCGCCCTGATGTGGGATTTTTCCGGATGTTTATTTCCACTTTGGGCGTAAATAACTGATGCCATTGAGCCTCAATTGGCCTTAAAATTCTGGATTTTTTTCCAGCCTACTGTTATTAAAAATGAATACATTTTTCAACCCCACATTTTGTTGATTTTTAATTGAAGCTGGTACTAGGTGAACTGCTTACGGCTTTAAACCTGCTGGTGCCAATAATTAGACCAAATTTATGTGACAGTCAGTCAAAATTTTTGTTGGAAATTCTAGCGCGTTTTTTGTCTCTCCAAATTTCCGTATTTTCAACTCAAACAATGCGATTTGCATGCAAATTCTCAGTGTAACATGGAGGAAATTGTGAAAAATGAGTTTCTCTTCTACTCGAAACTTGCTAAGCCTTTGGTTCTCAACCTTCCCAAATCCAAGGGTAAGTTGCCAGAAAATTGAGGGATTTAGAACAAATTGATGAAGACCAAATTTCATACAACGCGCTCAAAAAGTTAATGTTGGAGTTCAAGTGCAAARGCAAAATTATTTGTTTGTTGTTGATCAARCGCCCACAAAACTCATTTTATAGCAAMCGCATTAGAACGATTGMTCTTTAAAGCTTGGGAGATTTAAAGCTTCCACAACAAGCTTCATTTTCCCATCKGTTTCCACTTACAACTGTTTAAGCAGAGTTTCCCTTAATTTGCCCAAACAAACCCAATCAAGCGCAAAAAACCTTGAACAAACCCAGACAAAATTCAAATTAACCCAGGTTTCTAAAAAATCAGACTATGAAGGCTTTCACGGCCGGTTAATTCACATTTAGGAATGTTTTCCAGGCTTTGAAGCCGTGGTCTATGGGAATTTCTTCCTGACGTTTCGTCCACAACTGCGGTGGACATTATCAAAGGCGAAGTGATCTCCCGTGCTTTC